CCCCCCGACACTCACCGTCTGTGATGATCAGAGTCTTGCCGCCTCTCTGGTTGGACATGTCGGACTCGCAGACAGACACGTGGCTCGCTCCGCCCCTGACTTCCGTTCACGTATCGATCATAACTATCGATCAGCCTCTGAATCTCCTCTGCGGGACCAAACCAAACCCGGAAACACCAGCCGACGGCTCCCGGTGCACGTGATCCACATTCCCACTTATCATTGGCTGGAACCACTTCGTGACGTCAGAGAAAAAACTGCCCACAAGGAAGCGCGTGTCCCGCAAGGTCCCGGTCAAGAAATCGAAGCACGCGTCGCGGTTCGTGGACGCGCAGAGACCCGGATGCTGGTTCTGGCTCGGCTGAGTGCAGAGCTCGCTGAGAAGGCGCGCGCACGCTGAGAAGGCGCGCGCACACTGACAGCACCGGTGGGGTTCCGGTTTCACGGTGAGTGTGAGTCTCGGACACGCGGTCTGTGTTTGAACGCTGCCACAGTGGGGCGTGGGGATGTGTGCTCTGGGGCCACGAGCCCACGGATGTCCACGATCCTGCGCAGGAGCCCAAACTCTTCTTCTCTTGTTCTTGAGTTTGTCTCTCATGTGTCTGCAGAGCTGAAGGATGTCTGAAAAGGGGCCTCCTGAGGGGGAGCGTCCTCAGTCCCAAACCCAGTCCACCCTGTCCCCGTCCCAGGCCAAGTCCCAGTCCCAGCCTGGTTCCAGTTCATCCAGTGGGCCCAGCTCAGCCAGTCAGTCGTCGAGTGGCTCGGGGACTCTGAGCAGCGTGGACACCATCCCCGTAACGCTCGCGTCCGTCCCAGAGGAGCCCGAGCCGCAACCCTGGGGCCGCCTACTGCCCATGGTCCCGGGCTTCAGGAGCCACGGTACCTCACAACACGCCGGCGCGCTCGCTCTTCTCTGTTCTTAATCAGATTCCATTAAACTGAACATACTGTGCTGTGTCTGCAAATAGTAATTAGTAGAATTAGCAGCAGAATTAGCATAATCAGCCAGCCGAGCTGTTCCATACTTTAAATAACACATGAAGTAATCAGGATACTTCTGTTCAGCAGACAGTGCTTCAGGTGTGACAGATCTTTACACTGTAGATAAAAGATGGACGTGGCATGCTGGTTTTTCAACACCTCTTCCTGTTT